TCTATCTCTATCTGTGTCTATCTATCTCTATCTGTGTCTATCTATCTATCTATCTATCTATCTCTACCTCTATCGCCTCTATCTGTTCAACTCTTGCGTCGAAGCTGCTGGTGATGCCCTTGGGGCGGCCCCTCTCACAAGTCCGCCGTCTGCGCATGCACACGCCTCAATCGTGGCACAGCAAACGGTTGTAACGCTTTTGCTGTGACCTGAGAGCTTTCTGTTTGCACTCATGGGTCTTTTTTGTTCCTATCAAAATAACTCGTTTCTTGCTGAGCACTGCGCCAGCGCAGGCTGACTAATAGGCTGACAAGCTTGAGCCTGCGGTCTGCAGCATCCAGCAACTGGCTCTGCCGACCATGAGCTGCAAGATCGGCTGCATGTTTGTTTTCCAAAACCAGCACACTCAGCATCGAGGGAAATTAAACGGGTTGGTACGAACCAGCGGAAGGAACAAAGAATAAATTAGAGAAATGACGAGAGCAATCCAAAGGCTAGCTAAAGGCAGAAGACTGGAGAAGATCCTATTGGGGAGCACAAACCCACAAAGCAAAGCCAGAGAACCAACTCACCGCTTCTTTTGACTCAGAATGGTTGCCACAGCTGCCCCCTCAGCACTCGATGTCATCTTGGCCTGGACCACAGGACGCGTCAAACCCCCGAATCTACTGTAGGTGAAAAGCAGCGGACTGAATCACATGCGGCACACCTCTGACTCACATGCACAGCTCTGGAACCCCTCGTTCTATGCAAGCTGCAACAGGCTGTGCCAAGCCCCCCATCCCACAAATCACCTCAGACACTTGGCAGCCAAGACTGTCGGGGCCCGGCAAACATAGACTGCGTTTTGACGGGGCCGGCAGAAACTGAGCTTGATGACCTTTCAGGTGACCGTTCAAGCTCGGGCTCCTGATCGTTTGCATCCACAAAACACAAAGCTCGAAAAGGAAACCGACGTGTTCTAACATGTCCAAAATATTATCGCAGGGCCAACCAATGGAACGTCAGAAGAATTGATTGACTCAAAAGAAAGGAAACACGGGCGCAAAATACCACGGCCACAAAAAAGAACCCACATTCTCCTCTATCCGATACCTCTCTTCCATATCCTGCAGGGCGGCAAGCTTGGTGTCGGCCACGTCGCCTGGGGGTCGATTTGACACCAGTCACTAGTCACTCAGAACAAGCAGAATGCAGCGCCTGCGACCCAGGCAGCAGGAAAGTCGATCGGCCCCCCGGTCGCTTCCACGATCTTTTCGCAGAAATGTTGATAGCACATGGGCCTTGGGGGAACAAAGTTTTGGTGGCGGGGGCCACGCGGGCGCAAGTGGTCTGCAAAATGTGGAGTCCGAACATGTCCGAACTCACACTCAAATTGAAACATCATATGAATCATATACAGTAACATCAGACTATGTGGACATAACTTCTTGGTGTCCCCAGTGCCACAAGTATTTTTGGTTGGTCCTTATCGGTTTCCAGTGTTTTGGAATACAGGCAAGAAGCTACTTTCAATCAAGAAAGCGTATCGGTATAGAGTTGGCCCCTATCGGTTTTGCAAGGGCTCAACAGGCCAGGGTCGAAACAAGTCAAGCCCACTACACCCGTTTTGAGCATGAGATTTGTCGAGCATGGCGCTGGTACTTCCGTGTCAATATTCTCTGAGCTTGCCACTACGCAGGTTCATCGTTGCCTTCCTGGGTGGCGGGTGCCAGACCAAGAGGGGGCGCTGCAACAGCTGCCGTGGCGCTTGAAGGGCGGTGATTATGATCCAATTTGTACGTACACGCACAGGGGCCAGGTGATGATGAGACAAGCACATGCTTGCTGAAGGCCAATGATGCTGCTTCTTTTGTCACATGGCTCCAGTACTGTATGTTCCAGTCGAAGAGTCTTGCTGCAGCACGCGCAAGTTGTTTTGACCTGGAGCACGCACACTGCTCACCCTCAAGGTACTTCAAAACATTTTTAGAGAAAAAAGACCTCCTCGATGGAATCGGCCAGTTCCATCAGCCGCTTTGATCCAGGAAATAGTCGCGATCGAAAGTCCGTACCTTGAGCTGGCACAGCTGCAATACGCCTTGAATTGTTGAGGACAATATGACACCCAGGCGCGTAGACCAAAGCACATCACTGGCACTCCTCACGGGTCAAAATGGACACAATCCTTCCCGCTCTATGGTATGCAGCATCTTTTTGCACATCCTGGCCTTGCATGGTTGCCACATTCCGCAATCTCTCCACCGCGCGAGGGGACAGGAACTGCGCCTGAAACGTCGCCAAGCGGTAGCAATGGCCAAATCCGAAAGGCCTTGTCTCATCGAAAAGCCTCCAAGCCTCGTCAACAAGAATGCAACTGACCTCACGGCTCACACGAATCACACTCTATCACAAATGCCTCCAAGCAGTAAGAGCACTACCCCAATGAGCATGTCCGTCGGAAATTCTGTCTCAGAGGTGATCAGCACATCTGCCTGCGAGAGGAATCCGTCACGCGTTTCACAGTGCGATGTTGGCTCGACCTCCCGGGAGAGGCCACTTCGGCTCTGGACGGCGGAGGATCCAAAGCGAGTGTCCAGCCGGGGCTTCATCACCAAGACCTGCGAAAGCTTACTGCTAAAGGGTCAACAAGCATGGGTGGTACCCAGATTTCTCTCAAATTGGAGGCCCAACGGATGGTGTTCACTGATGTTCGTGTACTTGTATACTCGCTATACACATGTGGCCGCGGCTGCAAGAAATTCAGGCTCCGCACCTTCTTGGATTGCCTCAAGCCGAGCGCGGGCCGTGATTGTCGCGCATGCTGCATGACTCGCATGGTATATATGCCCAGGAATGACACCATGCGAGGCGGCGGAGGATGGTCCAACCCAGTTACCCTGAAGCCCTGTCTGGTGGGTGCTTGGCTCGAGCCTACATCAAGGTGCCCCGGAACAGCTCATGTGTTTTCTTCGCTTTCAGGAATGTCGACTAACGCTGGGTGCCTGCAAGGCCATGACATCACTTATTCTCTTATATAAGCCATGCAGCTCCACTAGCACTATTCACATGTATTCGCTTGGGAAGGGGATAGCTTCCAAATATTCCATTCCATACCATCACATGTGAAGATCGAGGCCAAACATATCCATCTGCAAAAGACTGAGTTGAGTAGTGCAGGTATTTTGACACTTCTGCTGCAGTGGCGCGGGCATCACGAGGAATTTTTGTCTGGTTGAACAGTCAATCTGATAATGCTCTCTTGGGGGTGGTCGTCCTACGATACACCCGGTGCTGCTTTTAGAGGATTCGATGGCCACAAGGTTACTTCAATATTATGGTGCCAATCCTAGATATCCTAGCCACGTTGATGCCTTGTTCACAGAGGTTGGCATGAATATAGCATGCATGCTCCAACAAATCAACAATTTGGCATGGAGACACTTTCTGAGCTGAAACGGGTAATCGGCCCTATAGTTTTCTGACCGGGCCTAGGTGATCAGCAAGCAGAGAGGCAAACAGCACCTTCTGATGGTGGTCCTACTTGCTAGGTGCTAGCTAGCAGTATGAACATCACCACTTGCCTCTTTTCCGATGCATCCAAGGACGCGATTGCTGCGACATGCTTCCACCAGCTAGGTCAATGGAGTCAATGCCCGGTTCGCAGTAAAGATTAGTTTCAGCTTTGTCACGTTATATAATGTTAAAACACATTGTCCGTCAGTGGCTTGCTGGAGAAACACGTTCACCAGTCCTCGTTCGAACGCACGTCATTGCTATCCCCACGTAGGGGGCAGCATTTGCGGGATCACAACAGGGTGGAACCTCATGAGTCCACTGCCTATGCATGTTGTCAACTTACCCTACCATACCCAAGCAAAGGGTGAGGAGCAAGCGGAGTCCAGCATAAAATCAAGCAATGTAAAGCCATGATCAACAACCCCCTTGTATATATATATATACAATAGAACATTTTGTCTTGCAATACTACACGCCTTCTCCCCAAAAATGATGTCCGATTTTCCAAAATTGGATACCAGAGCCAGTAAGGTCTGTTCTTTCCTTTAGAAAAACAATTTGCATGAAGAGATTTTCTCTGTCAGGCCCCTCATCATGAGGAGATTTAGTCTTTGGGACCTCTCCTTATGACTTAGGATCCCTCCACATGAGATTTAGTCCTTGGGACCCCTTTGTTATGGACCTTTCAAGCTGCACGATGTTTAAAGGGGAGCGGTATAAAATTGCTGACACACCACAACATCCTCACGGAATTCGAGCAACACTGCACGAACCATCCATCCCGCACCTGCCCCCCCCCAAAAAAAAGCACGCACACACACACACACACTCTGACATTGGTTTTCAGTTACACTCAATTTCCCGATGGGAAGAAAGGCGAAGAACCGCAAGGTGGAAAAGTCAGCTGGAACAGTATGGTTGAACATGGTTTCCACTCGCTCTCAAAAAACGCGGCTGCAAAGCGGTGCAAGGCTGCGGACGGCTGCTGTAAGAAACCTGTTTGGGGGGAGTAGCATGAAGAAGAACCATGAAATCAACAGACAGCGGCAGGGTGGACCATTGGAGTCAGTGTGTTGAAAGCAGGTACGCCAGACTGATCAGGTCTGGTTTCACTGCCAATTGCAAGCGTCTTCGTTGGCAGGAGACTTGCAATGGCACTCCTGCCCCCTGCCTTGTGGAATGGTGGTGGCGGAAACGGTGGTGTTGAACCCTTTGGCACAGGGGGTGACACACACACAAGTCGCCGTAGTCGGCGCTTTTTCTTTTCAAAAATCGGCTGCAAGCAGTTGGGTCGTGTCCTTTTTGGACGTAGAGCTTCACCAGCTCAGTGGCAGCAGCGTCAGCGCTTGAAGGTGGAAAGGTGTATTTGTGGATTGTGTGAAGTCTTGAGTGAAGCCCAGATAGAGCCAAGCGCTGGCTCTCGGCGCTGGTTGCGTCCCTGATTTTCCAGGGTTGTAGAGGTTGAATGTAGGTGATGGTACGTTGTAAGTCAATGTTGAACCCCAGAAGGTGAAAGTCGTCCACTGGCTCAAGTTCCACTGGGTCACCAAAGAAGTTGTGATGGATAAGGGTTTGAATGGCGGGGTGTTGGAGGAAGTGTTCGTTGTGGACGATGAATCTGTTGTCAACATATCGGTAGTATGCAAAGTGTAGGTCGGTGTGTTGGAGGAGGTTGTTGTGGATCTGGTGCCAGGAGTGTTCGATGAGAGTGATGGCTACGTTGCAAAGGGCAGGAGAGAGTTGGGATCCAATCCCAGCTCCTCGGACTTGCTTGTAAGTGTTGTTGCATGCCCGGAAAATGCAGGTGTCGAGTGCATAGGCGACAATGGTGGTGATGTCGGAGGTCTGGATGGTGCGTTGTGTGGGGTGTTTTTGGTGATGCCGGCCGATGTGGGAATGGTGGAATGGGTGGCCGGTTGCGTGGACGTCAATGGTGAGGGTGTGTGTGGATTGTTGTGCTTGCCAGTGCTGAATCATGGAATGGACCGCGTCGATGAGGCGGTGCTGGGGAACCGAGTTGAAGAAGCCAACCAGATCATCGTTGGTGGCATATAGGGAGATGTCCGCTGGGGTTTTTGTGAGGTGGCAGTGGAAATGGCGCCAGAGTTGTGGGATGGAAAGTTGGCCTGGATGTTGTGGATAGAGGTGTTGGAGAATGATGTCCAAGGCACGGCTAGTGATGCGTAGGAGGTTGCCGCTGAGGGAGTGGAAATAGGAGATGATGGTGCGGCCTTTCTGCCAGTGCTTCTTCTCTTTGAGGTGGACCACTCCATATGGAATGTTGAAGTCCTTGCGGAAGCCCCATTTGTATCGGGTGCGTAGGGTGGAGGGTACAGTGGCTTGGAGGTGGTCGTGGATGTTGGTGGCTGTCAGGTATGGAAGTGGTGCAAAAAGTTCGGGAGATTGCCATGTGTTGAGGGCTCCGGTAAAGTATTGGCGAGGACAAAAAACACGGAGCTGTTGTTGTTCGTGATCGGCATGGTGAAGTACGGTGTGTGAGCCGAGATATTCTTGAAGCTGTCTGAGTGAGCGGGCAGTGAATCTGGGATGTTGTTTTAAATGGGTGTTGTGAAGGCGCCATTGGTGCTCGAGGAAGGGTTGCAAATGCTGTGTGAGGGATGGTGGAAGTCCCTGGAGCTTAAGCCATTTTGTATAGGCCGTTTGGAATGTAAGGAAGTAGCGTGCTTTGCTGGGATAGTAGGTGCTGTTCATGTTGGCGTTGAGAAAGATGTTGAGGTGTGGTGGGAGATTTAGTTGGTCGAGTGTGAGAATGTAGTGGTCGTTGGTGGTCGGCGTGTCTGGATGGATATGCCGGCTGTGAGTGGCTGGAGGAGGGGTGGTTTGTTGCGACTGATGGAAGGTTGGAGGAGTTAAGGGTGTGTCCAAAACTGAGACCCATGGTGAGCTGGTCTGGGTGCTGACATGTTGGACGACATTGCCTGTGTTGGAGGCGGTCGGTAGTGGGTAGCGTCTGATGGGTGGAATGTAGATAGGCTGTCCCGGTTGTAAGCCGCTGGGTGCTGAAAAGGCCTCATGAGGAAGGTGCTGTGGATCTGAGGTGGAAAAGTTAGGATCTGTGAAGTAGGCAGCTGGTGGGAAGCGAGCCAAACTGTCAATTGCGTTGAGAGCAAGGCGTGTGTGATGTTGTGCTCGCTGCAGGTTGCTGTGGTAGATGGCAATGATACGTTGGATGGGTTGCGGTAGGGTGTCGGTGAGTGGCTGATGGCCAATGGGTGTTTCAGAGAGTGCTGTGTGTGTGGCAAGATGTTGATGTAGAAGGAAGCGGTGTATGTGGAGATCGGTCAACACGCCCATCAAGGCGTGAGGTGGGTCTAGCGTATAGACCCCAGACCAAAAGGCTTGGTCGGCTGATTCTGTGAGGTGTGGTGGTGGTGGAGCAGTTGGAGGTGGGGAGGTCGCAGGCGGTGACTGGTTGTCTGCTGCATCTTCTGTGAAGACGAAGAGGACTTCCGATTGCTCGTCGCAGTCTGGAGTATGGTCCATCGTGGGCCCGTTGATGTGCGAAGTCTCGATGAATGGGGCGAAAGAAAAACGGATAGCAAGAAAGCTGAAAATGGCTGCGGTGTTGGAGAATAGGATATCGATGATGTCAGGTAATGTGTTGGAGAGCTGAATTGTGACAAAACAACAGCGTTGTACTTTTTGCTTGTTGGACGATGGTGGGTCGGTATGTCGAGCGGTGGTGAGACATGGAGTGGTCAGCGGCGCATGGACACGTAGTCAGCGGCGAGCCATATTGACAGCAGCAGCGGCCGCAGCTTGTCAGTCGGGCAATGCGTAGTATGGCGTCTTGAAGGGTGGCTGCTTGTTGATCAGTCAGTGGAGTGTCGGGAATAGGTGGTACTGGTGGGAACACAGTGCCGGTGGTGGTGGGTGGGCTTGACGGATAGGCTGGCTGTGGAGCGGGACATGGCGGTAAAGTGTTGGGTGCGAGAGGTGGTTGACGTGTGCGGTGTATGGTGGGGTTGAGGTAATGGTGTATCTCACTGGAAAAGTTGAAGGGCAGAATGTGCCCATTGTGTCTGGGCCGTGGGATAGTGACTTGGACAGGGCCCTGTGTGGGTGGTGTAGAAAGGTTGGGTGGATGTGTATGGCTCGGGGTTTGTAACGAGGTTGGATGGGGTGGGAGGTGTGATGGTCCCACCCATGTGGTGTTCAAATGCGGTGTCCAGGGCGTGCCTTGGGCAGGATGGGAGCGTTGGTGGTGAGGATGATGGGATCCTCACTGCTGGTGGAAGAGGAATTGGAC